TGTTTAAAATAATTATTTTCAGATAGTCCCTAAATTATTAGATTCCTTACTATTTAAGGCTAGTCCATAATGTAGGCCCTTTATTAGCCAATCAGAAGGCAGCTTCACTGTGATGTCTCTTCTTAAAATAATTTAAAACCATATGAACAGCAGAATGATCAAAATCCCTGAGTCTAAATAATACTCACTGCCACTGGCACTGCCTTTCCTTCACTCAGATGAATCTGAATACCTTTTCCGTGACATAGGCAATAGGGTTTAAATGGTACTCATTACAACTGACCTTCCCCTACTTGTTTGTGACTCATGAATCCCATCTAGAATATATTTTGCTTCCTAGATTGATATGTATGTGGCTTCACTTAAATGTCACTCTCGCACAACAATGGCACACAACTGAGGCATCAGTAATAGATCCTCATCCAGATTACAGTCTGCTGGTGGTAGGTCCACACTCTGTTTTCACTCAGAGCAATTGATCCATATCTCAGTGACAAAGAATACAGGCGTCATCTATGTCATTTACTCCCACGCCTTGCACACACAAAGATTGGCCCTTTGTTTCAAAAGAAGACGTCCACAGCTGCTATAAAATAGGGGATAGCACCATTCTTGCTGTTTTCACTCAATCTTCACCTGCATCCAGATAGGATCCCAGAAGGAAAACCCAGTCAAACTTGTGAATGACAAACACTGGGCTGACTTGTTTTGTATACCTCAAAACAGCAGTCCATTATGACCAGTACATTAATTTGCTGTTCCTGTTTTATTTACAGCCTTTTCCCTCTGGGATATGAAGGGAGAAACGGAGAATATTGAGGTCCAGTGGTCTGAATGAGTGCCTGGGTTGGTGGGGGAGGTGTTGGAAACTAGAGGTCATGAGTTACAACTTGCTTCGTGTAATATGTGACTAGGACAAATTTTCAACCTCCTCACACAATACTTAGTGCAGAAACAGGCCATTCAGCCCAATTGATCTGTCCCGGTGTTTATACTCTGGATGCACCTCCTCCCACTCAAATTCACTCTGATACCCCTGCTCCTGTATCTATCTATACACTTCTAAACCAAATATGCAACAAGCACACCAACTCTTCCCCGGCTATCTCTTATACACACCACTGGTGTCTATGCCCACTCCATCTGTTCTTGACTGTGGCACTTCCTGCCATGTTCAGTTCTGCCAGAGGGACATATCTGTCCTGTCAGTATGAAATGACAGTCCTGCATGTCTCACTGCAGGTTGCGAAATCCAACTGTTGGTTCTGTGACTGGACAAATACTTGCCTCAAATCATGACAGTTCTAAACTGCCCACAGCTGAACAAGCTGCCTGACTTCATGGTTTGATCTCTTGACAACAAGGTGCAGGGCTGGATGAACACAGCAGGCCAAGCAGCATCATAGGAGCAGAGAGGCTGACGTTTCGGGCCTAGACCCTTCATCAGAAAAGGGGGAGGGGAAGGGGGTTTTGAAATAAA